GAGAGAGAGAGAGAGAGAGAGAGAGAGAGAGAGAGAGAGAGAGTGGCAAAGGTGAGATACAAAGAAACAGAACAGAATACACCGAGAGAGATACAGCGAGATACATAGATAGATAGATAGATAGATAGATAGATAGATAGATAGATAGATAGATAGATAGATAGATAGATAGATAGATAGACAGACAGAGATTGTGTGTGTGTTTTTGTGTGCGTGTCTGCGCCTGGGAGCAGCGACTGCTGACGTCATTTTACCGGGGGACACTAGAAATTTACTATTATTATTTCTTTGTTACAGTTTTTATTTGTGTATAAATTGCCTACGCAGACAAAAAGCCTTTTCATCTTGAAACTGCTGTGATTAAAAACGTGTACCTGTTCATATGTGGTAGGTCAGAAGATTCAAACATGTCGTTTTACAAGCAAAATGTTTCATAAGGTTTCCAGAGTTTGTTTACTAAGTCATAAATCAGTGCCAAGCATGGAGGTTTTAATGTACACTATTAGAGCTAGTTCTATAGACTATAGATGAAACATCGTGGTGAGATCAGGCGCTCGTCAATATAAAGAAATTCGAGAAATCAGCTTTTTTCGACCAGTATAGACATTTATTTCTTTTTCGATTTTTTTTTCTTGGGGGGGGGGAGGGGGGGGTTGGTGCAACACCCTGTGCGTCCATTCAAAAAACACTTTTATCAGTGGAGTTTATGGAAAGACTTTGAATAAAGGCCTAAAAAAATTAAATTTTCAGTTTCCAAGGACTCTAAAGCTATGGAAGTCACAAAACTTTGGCGCCATTTTCTCGTTAATTATAAACTGACGGTCATTAAAAACGCACCACTTACAAAACAATTCAAATAATGGTGATGTGTTATTTTTTAAAACAGATTATATACCATTGCATTCTATGGTCATTTTGTGAACATTCACAGCTGATATTAAATGAAAAGGTCAAATGACACCGCGAGCACAAAAACATGAAGTAACAAAAGTCATTTTTCAAAAATCAGAGAGGTAAATTGAGTTTTTAACACTTGCTTTAGTATCGTGTATGTCCTCCATTGGCCTGAATACAGTGTACGGGATAGGTAGCGTCTTCTCATGGAATTGACAAGAGTCTGAAAGAACACCTGTGGAATCTGTACCCACTCATTTGTCAAAGAACGCCTCAGCTCTTAGAGATTGTGTATAGGTTTTCCACGGGACAAACGGCGGCCAAGCTCGTCCGACACCTGCTCAATTGGTGCCATGTCAGGAGACAGTGATGGCCAAGCCAGGACATCAATGTTGTTTGCCTGGAGAAAAGCAGTGGTGGCTTGAGCGGTGTGGGGGAGGGCGTTGTCGTGTTGCTCTGGATGTTGACTAATTAACACAAGACGTGGTTCTTTAAAACCTGCTGGTACGTGGTGGCTTTCCACAGGCTGATCGAAGAAGTACAGTAGTGTGCGATAATCGTAGCTGGACGCTCCCCATACCATGACGCTGCCTCCTCCCCATCTATCGACCTCTAGCATGCAACAGTTGGCGTAGCTCTCGCCGGGGCGTCTCCAGACCCTTCTTCTCCCGTCAGCATGCGAGAGAGAAAATCGACTCTCGTTAACTGTAAATGCTGCCTGGCCTACTGCAAACGTTGTTGACAGTTCCTCTGTGTCAGGACAGGACCAACGTACGGGCGTCTGGCTGCAAGTCACGCTTCCCGCAAACGGCGTCGCAAGGCCCATTCAGATACTGGTCCACGCCGACCAACCACTTGAAGACCTGTTTCCGGTGCCTGCCGGAAACTGTCACGAAGGTGACGTTGGCGAATGTAACGTCTTGCGCTGGTGTGGTAACTTGGGGTTGGCCGCTCCGTCGCCGATCGGGTGTAGATCCAGTAGCTGGATTTCCTTGAGACACCGGATAACAGTCGAGTGGCTACAGTTCATGCGCCTGGCAACTTGCCGTGCTGTCATTCCGTCTTGTGGTATTCCAATGGCCCTTTCGCGTTCTTTCATGGAAAGTCGCGGCATTATTTACGCAGAAAAAATCCGTCACAGAGTAAAGAATGTCAGTTTTTGTTATGGGCGAAAATAATCTCTCCCTAACAGCCAAAAAGTCTGTCTCGCTAAACAAATTTTAGGTTTGAGGTCCACACACCGAATTTTTGCATGTTGCACGTGCGCATTGACAGGTTTGAACTGGGAACTTCAAATTTTGTGCGATCGGTAACCTCTGTTCCCTGTGAATATTTGTCAACCTCAATTGATGTCACTGGATAGATTTGTGTTCAAAATGTGCTCAATCCAAAATGGTGCGTTTTTAATGACCGTCAGTATACTTCTGAAACCAGGCTATCCCTTCTCCTTTAATAAAATCACAAATATCTCGACTTCTATTCAAGATAATTGGATATTTTTAAAATCAAAAGCAAGGCTAATGAACAGGCTTTAAGATGATATACAATTAGTCCATATGCCCCAAAATTGACGAGCGCTTGATTCCACTGCGTCGTGACTCATAGGTCTAATGTTCTACGAGTTATGGGCAATTGTGACTGTGAGCTAGGCACTAGACTACTAGAACTATTCTTAGGTGTCTGCTGAACTCGTGCAAAAGTAGCCTCGGGTCTAGGCCTAGATCTACATTAAATATTACGCTTCAACATGAATGGCCACTAGGCCTTAGGCTTTTAGGTCTAGCAAAACTAATCTAAAGACCAACAGAAGCAAACAAAACAATGTTTTAAACATAAGTAGGCCTAACCTCAGATTGTGAAATGAACCACAGGCCTATTTATTTATAGTTGACCACGAAGAATAAACTGAAACATGATAACAAGAAACTATCAGATCTAGATCTAGCTTAACAACAACAAATGCTAGATCTAGATCAAGAGATAAAGATTGAAATACTTTCGAACTAAACAAAACCCCAAAAGATCTATATATTATTTATTTATACTACTTACAAAGAAGCGACAGAAGTAGAATCTAGCAGAAAATAGCAGGTCTAGCCAATGCGTGTTGTCTGTTCCCCTTGTGTCTTCTGTCCTTTTTCGGTTTCATTCTCTGACAGTGTTGCGAGTGAAATCGGTGGTGCTCAGCTTCTTGTATAAAATTAATTTGTTCTTCCTTTCTGTGTCAT